CTATTTTCATTTCTTAGAGAAGGTTTCGAGCACATACATTAATTTCTTGGAAAATCCATCATTTAATCTGCTCCAATATAAAAGGAGTACTAGACTAAGTGAAACCATAATATTCTCAAACCCTGAGTCAACTAGTAGCTAGAGATACCATCGAAGTAAGCATGAAATTCTTTGTTCTGACTTTCATTTCATGCACTCCTGTTTTCCCCCTTTTCTTTGTCAAGCTTTGATTCTCCTTCAAACCCAAAAAGAAAAAAGGGGAAAATGTGAGGATCATGGGCATACACAATGTCTTAATCCATGACTTGGTACTTCTATTGCCTGTTTTACCGTCCGTAGTTCTTGACTCATTCGACGTCTCTTATGATTTGTCAACATTCACCTCTTCATGACCGGTGGCAGGAAATCGTGAGGCTTTACATAAGCAAGTCTAGTTACAGTTTAAAATTTATGGCTCAAGATGGCCGTGCCAGCTAATGTGGTACATAAATAAAAAATAGGATCTATCTCATGTTAAGATATATTTTATGTGCCCTATTTTTTAAAATGTAAGATTAATTAGAGAAAGTAAATAAATATAAGAGAGGGTAATAATTATAGTATATGTAATTATGTGACTTTTAGATGTGTTAACAAGAATCCAACTAAATGAATTGAATAACCCAAAAAAAAAAGAATTAAGTATAATGAATCGAATAACTCAAATAGCAAGCTTGAGCTACTATGGCACAGATGCAGGCAATCCATTGAACTCTGCAGTTGTGAGGCCTTTCATCCATGTAAGAAAGATACATCAGTTTTTGGGTAAAGTGCAAAAAAATCCCCTATGATTAAGCTAATCTACGATAAACTATCTTATAGTTTCAAATCATATATTTCAATTTCTCACGGTTTGAACTTATGTTATAGTTTCAAATCATATATTTCGATTTCTCACGGTTTGAACTAATTTGAAACCGCAACAAAAATCATCAAAACTAATGAAAACATATGAAATAACAAAATTACCCTAATATATATATATAAGCAATAAAAAACGTTCTAACAACCATCCTATTAAGCAAACTTATGGAAAAATTCCCTGTAGTTAAGCCAACACATGAAAAAGCCCCCTATGGTTATATGTTACTTTTATTTATTTATTTTGTGCATAGGAATAAGGTAAGTTATATTTGAAAGTATTTATTTATTTATTTTATGTATAGAAATAAGGTGACATTTATTTGGAAATTTTTATTTATTTATTTTATGTATAGAAATAAGATGAGTTGTATTTGGGAGTTTTGGGTTTTTTTTTAAAAAAAAATTTATGAGTTCTAAGGGGTTTAATAGGTATATCAGCTAAAAATTTGAATTAAAAAATTAGTTTCCATGTCAAGCAACCTCAAACTTGTTAATTTAAATGATTTTTGTCGATTTCACATTAGTTCAAACCATGCGCTACTGGATTGCATGATTTGAAATTATAAAGGACTTTTTCTATAGATTTGCTTAGTCACAGGAGGTTTTTCTGTATTATAACTCTAAAGGTATAATAGGTATATCAACTAAAATTTTATTTGTTTGTAGTACAATTATTCGTAAAAAAACTACGTGTATTTCAAACCTATTAATTTAGACGATTTTTATTGCATTTTTAAATTAGTTCAAACTATGAGGTACTGGAGTGTATGTTTTGAAACTATAGGAGATTTTTCTATATATTCGCCTAAGCTCAAGGGATTTTTCTATATTTTACCCCAGTTTTTTTGTAGTTGAGAAAGTCACAAGTAGGGTGCAAGAGAATCAAGCTCCTCGACTTGAACTCACAAGTAGTTGGATCAACTACTGGACTCGAGTTTGTTGTTGATCAAGCTTGAGTCGAGTTTGAACTACTCATTTATGTATTCGAGTCGAGCTCATGCAGAAAAATAGGAGTTCGATTGCTCGATGTGCTCAATCGAGCATTGCCTTCTTGCCATGTATATATTGGTATCAGCTTTGTTGAGAATTACATGAAGATCTCGTTCGTGATAAGCTAATAAGTATTGGGCAATAAGTCTTTTTGGTGCCTAAAAAATTAATAACCCAACAAATTAAACACACTCTTTCTCTCCATCGTTCTAGTCGATCCCACAACATTTGGTACCTCTCATCTTACTTTAGAAATCCTCTCTTTCTCCCTCTAAAAATTTCTAGATCATCACACCTCACAGAAGCCACCATTGATTCAATCATTCTTTTCAAGTCGTTTTGTGGATTTAGAAGATTGGGCTCGACAAAAAATTGGGGAATTAAAGATTGCAGGTTTAATTACATGTATTATATACTTCAAACATTGAATTTCTGGAATGGAACTTCATAATTTTTGTGAAATTTTGCTGTTATGGTGGTTGTTTTAGCCTAATTGATCCCACAATTGCAATCCTAAAAACCTATTACTTAGGCCAATTGATGGTAAACTCGATTTTGCTTCAGTCGTGCAGCGGTTGAATTAAAGTATTGGTATTCGTTCTTTGTTTAGACAAGGAAGTGTCATTTATTTAAATATTGTTAAATTTTTTGGATATAGAGACATATAAATAAAGTGTACATTACTACTTTAGATTTTGTTGAAGGGTAGTGAAGGTAATTTTACGGAGACAAACCTACAATTTTTTCTGCATATATGGAGATTTTGGTTGGGGCAATTCTCTAATATTTAAATTTTGTTGAAGGATAGTAGGAGCAATTTTATTTAAGTATAGGGACAAAATTATAATTTTACATATAGACATGGAGATTTTACTGCCCCTACCTTGCCTTCGTCTACATAAGCCATTGTGGTTGGAGAATTCATTGCAGGAGAGTCTATAGGGTTTGGTATTCCAATAGTTGCCAGGCCTATTTATCACGAAGAAGCTATCAATGCGCGGTTGATGGTGGAAACTGGGGTAGCTGCAGAAGTTATGAGAGATGAAAATCAAAATTTTAAAAGCGAAGGATAGCAAAAGTGATTGAAAAAGAAAGTGATAATGAGGAGTGTAGGTGAAAGAATGAGGCTGAAAGCAAAAGATAAGTAAGAAGATGAGATTGAGCGAAAAGGAAGACCTGGATGCAGACACCAGCGTGCTAGCTCAACTTTGTGAGAATAGTTAAACTAATGGTTACTGCAATACAGTAGATTTTGCAATAAAAGAGGACGTCAATTTCACCACAAATATTCATATGATATTGCACTTATAATGCTGAAACTCTATAAGCAGAAAATCAACCGCAGTTATATATAAGATGTATATACTTTTGATGAATTTAAACCACCCCCGCAAATTGCACAAATGTACCAATTAAAATGGAGTACTAGTAAGTAATTCACAACTGAGTAAGAATCATGTCGCTCGCGCTGGGTTGGTCTACTGGTGGAAGTAGCCTCCTTAGGTGAGTTTCACTTGAGTTTGATCTCGGGCAGCAATCCAGTTGTTATCTTCTTCAGTATCGGTCGGGCCCGCTCTGCTGGAGCGCTGTGGAATTAGTTGGGTATAGACCCGGATACCCACAGTGATGGAAAAAAAGAGCAAGAACCATGTCTATGTTGCAACTACTTTCCCTACCATAATAGGCCATTTTAAGACTTTAAACAGTACTGCCATATTTACCCAGGCCAATATTATGCTTTAACGGACTAATACAGACCGATTCCCACCTATCCTGCTCAGTGGCCGCACAAATTTAAACCACAAGCAGCAGGTAACAGAATTCGGCACAAGTTGATTAATTTCATGAATTTTCTTCCCTTCATTAATTTTTGGGTAAAAAACAAAAAAAAATCTCTGTGATAAACCTAATACATAGAAAAATTTTCCGTGATTTCCAAACATATAACATGACACCTCATGTTTTGAACTAAATTATAAAGGTGACGGAATCTGTTAAACATAACAGAAATGACTTATTGGAACTTGAAAAAAAATTTTTATACCTAATTTTTAACAAATATATCTATTCTGCCCTTAACCCTCAATTTTCTCTATCTAGAGAATAAAGCAAATGATTTTTTTGGGTTGTTTTTTGTTTAATTTTATCAGGGCATTTTGGTCATTTCGTCAATTTCTGTTAAGTTTAATGGATTTCGTTATCTTTATAATTTAGTTCAAAATATGGGGTGTTGTGTTGTATGTTTTGAAATCACGGGAGATTTTTCTATATATTAGATTTACTACGTGGTTTTTTTTGTTTTTTACCCTTAATTTTTGCATTCAATCTTTGTACTCTGATTGTGGAAAGCATCAGTATTTAATCAGCCCAAAGACAGCTCATTTTTCTCCGTCTGACAAAAGGGAACTAATTAAGGCAAATTACAGAGACAAGCTTTCCATGCAAACTAAAGCCATGCAATCGCAAGCTAGTAGTACAGAAAAAGTCAGTAGCACAGAAAAAGTCAATAGCACTTCTCAAAGGGTTCTCATGTTACTGTTTTTGGCGCATGGTCACATATCTCCATTCCTGGAGCTAGCCAGGAAACTCACCGATAGAGGGATAACCATCTTTCTTTGTTCTACAGCCATCAATTTAAGTTCCATTTCCAAGGAAATCAAGGGCAACTACTCTCAATCCATTCGACTCGTGGAGTTTCATCTTCCAGAATTGCGTGAACTTCCTCCTCACTGCCACACAACCAATGGCGTCCCAGCTCATCTCCAACCAGTCCTCTTCGAAGCCCTGAAATTGTCCAACTCTGAATCACACAACATCATAAACTCTCTGAAGCCAGACTTGGTGATCTACGATACAATACTATCTTGGCTAGTTGGCTTTCAGTAACTCCTTTAAGCACCTTTCCATCGGTTTGGTTCCAAATTACGAGCGCAGCCTTCTTGTCATACAAACTTCATTTGTCAGTCAACTCCAGCTCAGAATATTCCTTTCCAGCCATCTATTTTCGGGATTTTGAGTTTCACAAACTTCTTGCGGCCATTGGAGATAAAGCTCCGGTAGCTGGTGAAGTTTACTCCTTTCCTATGCTGGTTAATACTAGTAGAGCGATGGAAGGGAAATACTTGGACCACATTGCTGGTTTGACCAACATGCAGACTCTTCCTGTTGGTCCATTAATTCCCACTGGTCCTATTGCTGCTGCTGAATTAGGTGAAGAGGATATCGAGCTCATGAATTGGCTTGGACAGAAGGATGTAAATTCAGCTGTGTTTACTTCCTTTGGCACTATGTATTTCCCAAGTGAGGAAGAGATCAAAGAGATTGCTCATGGATTGGATCTGAGCAATGTAAATTTCATCTGGGCTTTAAGATCTCCAGACGGTGACGAAAGTAGACTTGAAGAGATTCTACCAACGGGATTTCTTGAGAGAGTGAGAGGTAGAGGGAGGATTGTTCAAGGATGGGCGACGCAGGCAATGATTCTTGGCCATTCGAGCATTGGTGGATTTTTATCCCACTGTGGTTGGATATCTTTAACCGAAGGCATAGAATTTGGTGTTCCGATAATAGCAATGCCTATGAATTTGGAACAGCCCCTTAATGGAAGGGTGTTGGTGGAAAATGGTGTGGCTGTGGAAGTCATGAGAGATGAAAATGGTAGACTTAAGGGGGAAGAGATAGCAAAAATGATCAACCATGTGGTAATTGGGGGTGCAGGGGAAACCATGAGGCAAAAAATAAAAGATTTGAGGAAGAAGATCAAATCAAGTGAAGAAGACAATCTGGATGAACTTTAAACATTGATCGCCCAACTTTCTAAGAAAAACTCAGGTCAAGATCCCAATATTGCAGGAGGACTTGGGACTTAAAACTGGACTTCTCCGAATGCGTTCCTCAGCTGGTGTTCAGGGGTTTACTAAATAATCGAGATATGTGGTATGCGCTAAAATAAATGAGGGTTTAGAGATATTGAAGTGTCTCTACTACTCTAATAATGTAATCTTTCAATCCAATGAATCAGCATATAATTCCGAAAGGCAATGAAATATTGTAGTGTTGTGAAGATTCAAATTACTAACGTGTAATAATCGTAAGAGCAAAAGAAAATTGCAGCATTCAATTGAAGAGAAAAACCATATACTAATTGGTATAGAAGGGACAGAATAGAATTAGTATTATTGGATATGGTTTGCTAATTGTGACATTTTTTATTTGGGATTATAAGAAAGTCTCAAGACAATGACAAAAGCAGCAGTCCCCCGGCTGTTATGTGCTGGTATTTCCATCAAACAACAAAATCAGACGGCATGGTTGAATGAATTCCTGGTACCAATCATTGTTTCAAGTCGTTTCGTGGAAAACTAGACCCTGCACCGTGATTCCGGCAACTCCCAGGTACCCAACTGGACCAATGTGCCTTTTTGGTCTTCCATGTAGTACTATTAAATATTGATAGGGTGCCCATGTTTATGGTTTTTCGTCTATGAATTTGTTTGTAATCTACTCATACAGTCCATATTAATGAAATTCTTAGGAAAAATCTCCACATGGACTTCTCAGTCGCAAAAGAACAGTATTCTTTGCTATACGCCAGGAGTCCACGTAAACTGCAAGTCCCAAATATACAGGGCAAAGGTGATTAATTTTGTTCAAATCTGATTTCGTCCTGGTGTAGGTGGATTTATTCATAATTTGTTAATTCTTGCTGCCGACCAATGGATCTCGATTAGCAAAGTCCAAAGTCAAGCATGCGAGTATTTGACAGAAAACAGCAAACTCGGTTAGAAAATTCAGAGCCCTGTCTTTCTAGATATCGTTTAAAATTCCCTTTCAAGACTAAAACCTTTGCCCATCCCCCACTTACATTTTCCCCTCCCAAAAACCAAAGCACTCAACGCCAAGACACAAAGCACTTACAGAAAACAGAGGATTTATGGGTACAGAACCAGTTGCTGTTACTTCTCAGCTCAAGGTTCTCATGTTTCCATGGCTGGCTTATGGCCATATATCTCCCAGCCTAGAACTAGCCAAGAGACTAACGGATAGAGGATTTGCCATATACATCTGTTCAACTCCTATCAATCTTGGATTCATCAAGCAAAAGATCGCCGGAAAATACTCTGCGACAATTAATCTAGTGGAACTTCATCTTCCAGACACTCCTGAACTCCCTTCTCACTACCACACCACCAATGGTCTCCCACCCCATCTCATGTCCACCCTGAAAAGAGCCCTGAACAGAGCCAAACCGGAACTGTCCAGTATCTTGAAGACTCTGAAGCCTGACTTGGTGATCTACGATGTCACCCAGACGTGGACCAGTGCATTGACTGCAGCCCATAACATTCCAGCGGTTAAATTTTTAACTTCAACTGTGTCCATGATGGCATACTTCTCCCATTCGTTTATGAAACCGGACCTTGAATTCCCTTTTCCAGCCATCTATCTGTCCGATCCCGAGTGGACCAAGTTTCGGATAACAGCCCAAGCGGCAAGAGCTGACTACGAAGAAAGTGATCCTGCGGCGGAAAGGCCAAACCGGGAGTGTGACCGCATCATCCTCACGAAAAGCTCGAGAGCAATAGAAGGGAAATATATAGACTATCTGTTTGATCTTACGAAGCTGAAGATGTTGCCTGTAGGTACCCTATTAGAAGAACCTATTAAGGATGATCAAGGGGATAACAACGACGAGTTAATCCAATGGCTTGGGACAAAGAGCGAGCGGTCCACTGTTTTTGTTTCGTTTGGGACCGAGTATTTCTTGACTAAAGAAGAGATGGAAGAGACAGCATACGGGTTGGAGCTTAGCGATGTCAATTTCATATGGGTTGTAAGATTTCCTCTGGGTCACAAAACAAGGCCTGAAGAGGCTCTTCCTGAGGGGTTCTTGGAGAGGGTGGGAGATAGGGGTAGAATTGCGGAAGGATGGGCACCACAGGCAAAAGTATTGGCACATCCAGGTACTGCAGGTTTTGTTTGCCACTGTGGTTGGAATTCGGTTGTGGAAAGTATAGAGTTTGGTGTTCCAATTATAGCCATGCCCGTACAGCTTGACCAGCCACTCAATGCCAGGTTGGTGGTGGAAATTGGTGCAGGCATTGAGGTTGTGAGAGATGAGAATGGCAAGTTTGATAGAAAGGAGATAGCAAGAGTAATCAAAGATGTGGTGGCGGAGGAGATGGGTGAAAACGTGAGAGGGAAAATGCGGGACGTGAGCCAGAAAATAAAATTGAAGGAGAAACAGGAGTTGGATGAAGTTGCGGAATTGCTAACTCAGCTTGTGAGTTGTGAAGGAAAATAGTCAGTCTTCGAATTAATTTTACTAGTACCTTTCTGGAATTATTTGAACTGCTCTATGAATTCCAAAATATGAAATAAAACTGCTCTATGGAATTTTTAGAGTTTGTTCCTTTCTCTCCCGTTTCATTTTTCATTTTTCTTGGGGCGTGGGATAAGTTTAAAGTTGGGAATTGTAACCATCGATCATTTACTAACTCTGGGAAGTAATAGTACTACATTTGTTTGCTAGCCCATACCCTTTCATAACTCACAGTTTTTTGTATGAGTGTTTCGATAAATGGACTCTGCGAAGACACTTTGCTAGCCCATACAGTTTCATCTTTTGTGACAAATGCACGTGGTTGGCTTCAAATTCTTTTACTATAGCTACTGCGTCTGTGGCTACTAATTTGAGTTCTGGTGATCTCAATATTTTAGTGATACTCTATATTCAAAGCGCGGAACATCAACTCTCTCGCACCTCCCAGGACAAGAAATATGACAATCTTTTTTTTTTTTCTTTTTGTTTCATCTTAAAAAAAAATAAGTTTTAGAGTAACTTAATTGGAAGTCGTTGATAGGAAGTGGGTACTAAGGGTAGATATGGCATTCGGTCTCCGAAAGCTCCCACTGAGAGGAGATTTCGTCCAAATAACATCCACGTTATTACATTTGTTTTTTGATCAATCGTCAAATCTTACTCCTATTCTTATTTCAATTTACGTTAAAAAGGATTCAACTAAGTCAATGGAATTAGGAGAGTAAATTAACACCACCTTTAAATTAAATGAGCGCACTGCTGCACATCTTTTAAATTTTATCGTAGGTTTAGTGAATCGAACTCTTAATTTGTAGTCAGACCTGTGCCTTATACTTGACGTTGACATTATTACAAGGAAAAGAAGATATGCCATTATTCTATTTTCCTTTCTTCCCAAAAAACATATACTATCTTTGAAACACTTAGTGATGACATGGTGTGACGAAGAGTGGAGAAAAAACGCCATTCCACTAGTGTAGCTTCAAATATTTATGAAATTTTCAAAAGAAAAGTATGACATAATAAAGCACGAGAAGAAAGTAGTTCTTTGAAGAAATCGGTCCAAAATGTGCACCTTCTATTTTCCCTAGCTATTTCTGCTTGCCATAAATTTGAATAGTTTTTTAGTCAAATTCTTGATTGTACCAGTATACGGGGCTTATAGAATTTGCCTCTAGTCTTCGTCTAGGAAATTCCACCTTCATCTGAAAAGTGAAAACTCCATCGTAGATGTCGTCCTAATCTGTCGCCTCCACCCAGAAACGTATGCGGCAGCAATTTGCGACTCTTCCTTTTACCTGGACGTTGTGGACTCGATTCCGTTATTTGTCCATTACTCATAATAAACAAATCCTTTGATCAACGTGCCATATTGTCATACCATTTTTTTAAGAATTAATTACATTTTCCTCCCTTGTAGTTTTGTCAAATTGCAAGTAGACTCCCTAAACTTTGAAAAATAATAATCATCCCCTTTGGCTTTAGCATTGCATAACAAATTGCTCCCTCCCATTAGTTTACTAACTGATTGTCAACCTATATAGGAAAAGCGCGAAAGGATTCGTAAAGGATGGTGGTGATTGTGCTGATGTGGCTGCATTTTATTCGCTGAGGGGTCGTCCTCCATCACGTGGGACTCGCGTGCTTTCGCTGGGAGGAGAATTCGGATTCTTGCTTTTCTATGCTGGGAGAAGTGGGATTCTTGCTTTTGTCTGAGAGATGAGGAAGGACCTTCGGTTTTGAGAAGAAACCATTTCTCTGTTTTTGTTGGAACGACAGATGAGGTGGGCTCGAGATACCTACTCCCATCAAGTGTCTCCCATCTCCCATCAAGTGTTTCTCTCTCATCACTGCTTTCCCCTCTCATACCCAAACGACCAGATCACTATGATTATTGTACCCCTTGTTGATGATCTTCTCCTCTTCCTTATTCCCTGTTTCTCGGTAAAAAAATTATCCCGACACAACCTTTTGTTTCTCTCTTTTTTTTCCAAGTACTTACTGATCTGTTCCAAAATTTTTCTTTTCGAACCACTACGGCTGCTGTACTCCTCTTCTGTGATCTTCTCCTCTCCGTTGTTCTCTATTTCTTGGTAAAAAATTATCCGGACACTCGGCCTTTTATTCATCTCTTTTTTTCCAAGCACTTGCCAATCTATTCCAAAAATTTTCTTTTTTCGTATGCTTTCTGTCTGGATGGACTATGACTATCAAGCAAATAACATTATCGAGTTCTGTTGGTGCTGGTTTCAAGCAATCATCTTTTTTTTGTTTCAGATACATTGCAGATCGAATGGATCTGTTAAGGATGGTGGTTGTTGTGCTGATGTGGCTGGGTTTTATTGGCTAGGTGGTGGTCGTCAATCACATGCAACTCGCGTGCTTTCGCTGGGAGGAGAAATGCAATTCTTCTTATTGTCCGAGAATGAGGACTCTGGTTTTATTCTTTGGTTCTCCATGTGTGTGTGTGTCTTC